CATATCTGATTTGCCAACTTGTTGGAAGTGCCTAGACAGACTTTTAGAACACTGGGTTTTAGATACTCCAATTTAAAGAATAGGTATTCCTTCTACGATAGTTTTGAACCAATGCATAAAGAAACCAACCCTCTTATATTACCACTAAGCTAACCTTTCTGTTTGATTTGATTTCTTGAAACCTTTCTTGATTTTATGGTTTTGAATTTATGCAGAGATCGATTAAGATCCTGTCCTACTTCGTCACACCTTGTTTCTTAGCGATGAGTACATACAAGATCTGGTGGTACGCTTCAGGAGGTTCTCAGATTCCTTTCCTTGGTAACGTTTTCTTGAGTGATATGGTCGCTTGTATGATGGAACTCTGTTCCTGGATTTACCGTACCACCGTGATCTTCCTTGTTTGTGTCCTCTTCCGTCTCATCTGTCATCTTCAGATCCTTAGGCTCCAAGACTTTGCTCAAGTCTTTCAGATGGATTCAGATGTTGGATCCATCTTGTCTGAACATCTCCGTATTAGACGTCATTTGAGAATCATCAGCCATCGATACAGAACCTTCATATTGTTGTCTTTGATCCTTGTCACTGGAAGTCAGTTTTACTCTCTACTTATCACCACCAAGGCATATGCTGGGTTGAATATCTACATAGCTGGAGAACTCGCAGTGAGTTTTGTTTCTTTTTAAAACATTCTAGAGAATCTTGATGAAATTTTTTGCTAACTAGTCTTTTGTTTATCTCTCAGCTATGTTCAATGACGCTACTCACTGCGCTGCTTATTCTACTGCGAAGTGCTTCAAAGATCACACACAAGGCTCAGGCAGTGACTTGCCTTGCGGCAAAGTGGCATGTCTGCGCGACAATAGAGTCCTTTGAGACGGTGGATGGAGAGACTCCAAGGTTAGTTAATAGAGCAAGTGGACATGGATATTATTCAACTGATGTTGATACCGGAGATGCAGACGATAGTGAGGATTATGGAGATGAAGAAGATGATTTTGATAACAATGATCTTATCCCTGCTTATGCTTATAGCACTATATCATTCCAAAAACGACAAGCTCTAGGTAACACATTCAAACCAAATTTCATTATCTTGACATGTCTAGTTATTTATACCTTATCTGTACAATTTTTATGATGGACTTTTCAGTGAATTACTTTGAGAATAACAAGGCAGGGATCACAGTGTTTGGGTTTACACTCGATAGAAGTACTCTTCATACAATATTCGGGATTGAAATGTCACTTGTTCTCTGGCTTTTGGGTAAGACCATTGGGATTTCTTGAAGCATTCCTTGGATCATCTAAGTTTTGGCTCACTTGTTGGATGACATTGCTACATATGTGGGTGTACACAGAGGCTCTTTGTAAGATATACCATTTCCTAATTTTTTTTGATCATTTGTAAATCAGCTTTGTTTGTTCTTTAATGCGTTGCGTTTGTAACAAGTTTCATATGTTCAACGAGAGATCATACAGTAAATTAGATTGGTCATACAAAAGTCCCATGCCTTTGTTGTCTTTGTTTTGTGAGTTTGAACTTGTTATACTTGACTTTGTGATATTGATATCTAAATCTGTTTCCTCATTACTCAATTGAGATATAACCCTTTTAACTACTCTATAAAAAGGGCTATACACTTGAACCCACAATATTTTGAAAATTAAATTTCTTTTATAGTTATGTATTTTAAAATTTATAGTGTGGAACTGAATAAAGCTAAAAGTAAAGTAAAAAAAATAAATTCAATTAGCAAGACAAAACAGCTAAATTGTTTTAAAGTTAAGACCATTTAGGTATGAACTGGTTTACCCAATTTGTCACTCCTAGTTTGAAGTATGAAAATTATACATTGCTATGAAATTTCAGATACAATTTAGTTTTAGACATGAATACAACTTTGTATTCATGTTGGTAATGTAATATATAAATAAAGAAAATTAGACTTTAAATTTAGGTTGATTATTATTGCACCAGGGGATGCTCATTTCACCATTCAGATTAGTCATTTGGATGGATATATTTTTTTTTTTTAATAAAATTACAACTGATCTGAATGGTTCATTAAAATGAGTTTTATAAATTTAGACTTAATTTTTAAAATCAGTCATGAATCAAACTGAACCATCTCGATAGAGATGGTTATGACAAAATGGTATAATGTCTATTATACCATTGATATAATTTTCAAATTACAAATTTAAATCCAATATCATTTTGTAATTCATGAAAAAATGACAAAACCCGCAAAAAAGTAAATCACAATTTCTCCCCAAAACTATAAAAACACATTTTCTCGCCAAAACACATTTCCCCGTCAAGACCATAAAATGTACTTTCTCGCCAAACACACAAAAATGTACTTTCCAAAAAAATTGCAAAAATACATTTTCCTGTCAAAACCGTAAAATCCTTTTTTTCTGCCAAAACCGTAAAAATCATTTTACCCCAAAACCGCGAAAACATGTGTTTTCACCAAAACTGCAAAAAACATATTTTCCGCCAAAAATGCAAAAACGTAATTTCTTGCCAAAAATGTAAAACATGTTTTTCCCACCAAAACTGCAAAACATTTTCCCGCGAAAATCGCAAATTATACATTTCTTGCCAAGACCGCAACAACGCATTTTCCAGGAAAACCGAAAAATATATTTTCCCACCAAAAATCTCAACACGTTTTCCCCCATTACCACATAAAACATTTTTTTTGCTAAAACCGCAAAAACACATTTTCCACCAAAATTCAGGTAATTACAATATTATACAAAAATATTTTCCTGCCAAAACCACAAAAAACGTATTTTCTCGCCAAAAATGCAAACATGTTTTTTCGTTAAAATCGCAAAACATATGTTCACGCCAAAATTGCAAAAATATATTTCTCACCAAAACTGCAAAGATGCATTTTTCTACCCAACCGCAAAATATATTTTCCCAACAAAAATGCAAATATATGTTTTCCCGCTAAATCTGCATTACACATTTTTTCACCAACATCGCAAAACATATTTTCTGCAAAACCGCAAAAAAATATTTTTCCGTTAAAACTGAAAAAAATCTGTTCACCCGCCTACAAAAAATACGTGTTTTCCCATCAAAACTGCAAAAACACATTTTTCCGCGAAAACCGCAAAAATGTATTTTTATCCCAAAACCAAAAAACTCGTTTTCCCACCAAAATTACAAAAACATATTTTCCCGCCAAAACTACAAGAACATGTTTTCACGCTTAAAACCATGAAACCATATTTTCCCTGCAAAACCAAAAAAATCATTTTCCCCACAAAACCACAAAATTACTTTTTTCGTTAAAATTGCAATATCAGATTTCTCGCCAAAATTGTGAATATGGATCTTTTCACTAAAACCATGAAATCTTTTCAAAATAATTAATAAAAATATAGTGAAGGAAAAAAATTATATGATTAAATAAAAAGAAGGATATACTAGTAATTTGTTTACTAAAAGATGATAATAAAGACAAATAAACGAACATAAGTCCATTTTGATGATTAATCTAGATGATCAATCTGGATGGACAAATGAATTGTCCCAATAATATCTAGATGAATCATTTGAATGACTCATATAAATTGATCATCTAGATGGAGATGATAGATGATGAAATGAACATCTCCAAGGTGTAATTAAATCATTAAATAATATAAAGAGGTTGATTGTCTAAGGTTTTTTTTTTAAATCATTTTTCTCTCGATCAAAATTTTTAGCTTTTAGTTTTTGTTTTTGTAAAAAACTATTTTGTTTACCAATCAAGTTTTTAAATATATAGATTCCCTAAAATTTAGAGAAACTGGTTTTTCAAATTTTAACTAATTTGTGAAGAAAAGTCAAAAACCAACTTTTTGGGTTTTTAATACAAAAACGAATTTTAGTTATTTTGTAGGAAATCTATATTACAGTTAAATTAATAATTTTCATAAAGATAAAGTAAGCATACAAATTTTTGTAGATAATATATCATTTAAATCTTATTGTAAAATAATTTATTTGTGATTTGATATTTTATATAATATTAGTTCATTGTAAAAAGTAGTTATTAATTTCTATAAAAAAATCAATGAATAATTGTAATAATTAGTAGACACACTAAACAATAACTAAAAAGTATAAAAACTTAAATACTTATTAATACAACATATTATTTTAGTTTGAAAATAACCATTCAAGTTTTAAAAATAAATAGTTTCACAGTTTTAAAATAGTTTTTAAACAATTTATAGAAACTTTATTATTTATATTTTTGTATAAAACTTACAAATAAAATAATTTAAAAACATATTAATGTATTTTTTTATTTTAAATAACAATTACTCCATATTGATAAATTTAAATGGCAACTTTTAAATATTTTATTGTTTAAAAAGTATTGTGTTTTTTTTGAAAAACTAAAAATACAGCAACGCCAAAAACCAATCTAAAACTAAAAACCAAAACCTGAAAAATCAAAAACAAAGCCTAAAAACTAAAAACAAAAATATAAAAACCAAAAAATGAAACTAAAAACTAATGAAAACAGTCATCACCTAGCTTTCAATAATTGTTTTTTTGTCAAAACACTAGACTTTTGTTTTTAATTTCCAGTATCATAAATCTAAAATCGGACTCAATTGTTCAAAGTATATAACAAAAAGAGTTTTTACTACTTTGCTGTAAAAAATGAGTAATTACTAACTAATACGGTGTTTTTCAACAAGGAGAAATCAACAAAAAATATAATTGAGACGAGACCGACATCTTTCACATTGATTAATTAACAGTGGGCTATTACGATCAATCAAAAGTATTGGTGCATATGTACAAGTAAATGAAAACATGGGGGCAGTTTCTTGCATTGCTTAATTACTCTCTTTCCCTCCCTTTGGCGTCGGGACGAAGAACCCGCTTCCCTCAGAAACCGAAATCTCACGTGACGTAATACAAAACTCCCTTTTGAAACTTTAATACAAAACTATCTTCTAGATTTTCGAAATCGGAGATGGAGATTGATTCCGTCGCAGATGGGTCGTGCTCCAAGGAGAATCAAATTATCTACAAGGACTGGTTCGAATTCGCCGATTCAGGTCTCAATTTGATTCTTCTTCTTCAATCGTAGATTTTAAAATCCAGTTTATCACGCTAATAGCTTCTCTGTTTAATTTGGTGTATGTGAGCAGACTGCGATGGACGCATTACTGGTAACGATGCGATCAAGTTCTTCACCATGTCCAATTTGCCTCGGCTCGAGTTGAAGCAGGTAAGGATTTGATTGCATTGGGCCTTGAGGATAGATAAGATGCCTATGATGATTAGCTTTTCATTGTGAATTTTCTGATAGGTGTGGGCGATTGCAGATGCTAAGAGACAAGGCTATCTTGGTTTCAATGAGTTTATCGTTGCTATGCAGGTTCAGATTCATCTCCATTTTAAATGTGCATGTATCTATATGTGAGATTGTGAATCTAATTTATTGGTATTTTTCCAATCGTTATAGCTTGTTTCTTTGGCTCAAACTGGACATGAAATATCTCATCAAGTTCTTCATAGCGACGGTATGATTACTAAAGCATGAATCTAGACTTTGTTTAGTCTCAATATGCTCAGTTTATTGTTTTGTTTCTAATAATATTTCTGGCTATAATTGCTGTTGATTTCAAGAATCTGAAGCCTCCTGTTATGGACGGTCTCGATGTATTATTGGTGGTTAGTATTTGCGCCTGCAGTTTCCATTTCATGTCTTTTCTGAGTTTAGATCATTGATACTTACAACTGTGCGTTTAAACACAGAAGAAGAAGAAGCATTCATCAAAATCGAGTGATTCTAATTCGAATGGTACAAAAGAATCTCCGTTATACTAACACCCTACGATTTAAGTTTTGTAAATTTTTTTTATCTCATTTGATTCAAAATTTTCAGGTAGTCCTGTTGCAGATGCATCACTTACAGCTCATTGGTTCTCTTCCAAATCTTCTAAAAAGGTTTGTTTTTCTCCAACCAATAGATTTAAATTTTACTTAACTACCAATCATTTATTGCCATGAGAATACTTCCATATCTACTAAATACTCTGTTTATTTGATTGTACTTACCTAATCTTTATTATTATGTATACAAATAAATCATTGGTGGAGTTAAAGTCGTGTTTTCCTTAGCTGCTTACAAACGGTTTTTGTTTATAACATCCAAAGTTTCTGAAACTAAATATCTTCGTGATCTGAGATTTCTTTGTCCTCCGTAACATCTATAGTCGATGGTCTGAAGAGGTTGTACATTCAGAAGCTTTAGCCACTTGAAGTTGCTTATCGGTTTAACGATTTTGTATCCCCTTTGTTGGTAAGTTGTGGGGCATTGCGTTTTGGTACTCGTGTAACAACAATTCTCGATAATTATTATTTAAGTCAGACTGACCTTTAAACTACATGTGTATTTGCTTAGACGAACAGTGATTTCGACGCCAAACCTATAGTAATGCTCCTGGGCCAGTACTCCACAGGAAAAACAACATTCATTAAGCATATGCTTAAATCTAATTATCCAGGCAGGTTATCCATTTTATCATGTCTCTTCCTTCTGGGACTCAAGTAGTTTGAATGTTTGACATGGGGATACCAGGTTAGGTCGATCCTAATCTATAAAGCTGCTTCTTATAACGTCAACTATCATATTTTTCAGGAGCTCATATTGGACCAGAACCAACGACTGACAGATTTGTTGTCGTCATGGTATGTTCATGTGTCTTTTACGAATGGTTTCATTTGTGGAAGGAATGATCCATCATATTCTGCTAAACATTTGAGTTTTGTCTTCAATAGTACACATAAGTTACTATGTGGTTGACAATGATGGATAGTATATTTCATTTTCACCTTGCATGAAGGGTGATTTGATCTTTTTATTGTGTCTCACAGTCTGGACCTGATGAAAGAAGTATCCCTGGGAACACAGTCGCGGTTCAAGCAGATATGCCATTCAGTGGTCTTACAACTTTTGGGACTGCCTTTTTGTCAAAGTTTGAATGTTCTCAGATGCCTCACCCTGTACGTTTAACCTCATGCATCCCAGTCACTTTTGCTCATATTGGTTTACTGATCGACAATTGTCGATCCATTCATCTTTGTTGAAGCTGCTGGAGCACATAACATTTGTCGACACTCCTGGAGTTTTATCAGGGGAGAAGCAACAGACTCAACGAGCATATGAATTCACTGGTGTTACATCATGGTTTGCCTCGAAGTGCGATCTCATCCTCCTCCTGCTCGATCCACACAAGCTGGATGTAAGCGATGAGTTCAAGCGGGTGATTTCATCTTTACGTGGTCATGATGATAAGATTCGCGTTGTTCTCAATAAGGCTGACCAAATTGACACTCAACAGGTTGATCCTCCAATCTGTTATCGATTCTTATTCCGTTCCATCTCTCACACACTCCTTTGAATGTTGTCCATGTTCTGAAACATTAACACGCCTGCCTCTGTATCTTGTACAGCTAATGAGAGTGTATGGAGCTCTCATGTGGTCACTTGGGAAAGTTCTCAATACTCCTGAAGTTGTCCGTGTCTACATTGGGTAAGTCCACCTGTTTCTTTCCCTTGTTGGCAGTGCTTTGCTTAACAAAAAAGCAGCGGTTTAAAACTGATGTTTTGTTCTGGTTTGCTTGGTTTGTACAGCTCCTTCAGTGATAAACCCATCAACGAAGCTGCGACTGGTCCAACTGGGAGAGAATTGTTTGAAATGGAGCAAGAGGACCTTCTCTCTGATTTGAAAGACATTCCAAAGAAAGCTTGTGATCGTCGAGTGAGTGTGAAGCTTCCTTCTTTCCCTTCCTCCCCTCTGATGGGAATCTAACTGTGTTCTCTTTGTATAACAGATAAATGAGTTTGTGAAACGGGCAAGAGCTGCAAAGATACATGCGTACATCATCAGCCATTTGAAGAAAGAGATGCCAGCCATAATGGGAAAAGCCAAAGCTCAACAGAAGCTGATGGATAACTTGGAAGACGTCTTTGGAAAGGTTGATCTGACTTCTAAGGATCTTTACAATATGCGAGTTTCTAATTCCAAGAACCTTAATGACAATGTGTTGTGACTGTGTTTGTGACATGGAAACAGGTACAGAGAGAGCATCATTTACCAAAAGGAGATTTTCCAAACGTGGACCATTTTAGGGAGGTGCTAAGTGGTTACAACATCGACAAGTTTGAGAAGCTAAAGCCAAAGATGTTGCAGACTGTTGATGATATGTTGGGGTATGACATTCCAAATCTCTTGAAAAACTTCAAAAACCCCTATGATTAATAATATTATTCCGTCTTAGCTATGCGCTTACTGTTATAGCCCTAATCATGCACTAACCTTTAGCCTAGAACTTCCCTTCCTTTTGAGCATAAATGCACATTTGTATTCTTACAAGACTTGTACACAATAAAGACACAAAGAGTACTAACAAAACAAAGCATATGAGTATCAATATCGTCTTAACATTGTTTCGTTTATGGTGCACTCTTCAATTAGTATATTTCAAATTTGTATGATTTTCTATTAGAAAAATATTTGAAGTTTGGATGTAGTCTTGACTTGTGAAAGGATAGAATATACAGTATAGGTATATGAATCATGTTGACCACAAAAAAAAAAGAAAAAAAAAGGTATATTAATCATGATGTACAATCCAAATCGGTTTAAACTATTATGTAAAGAGTCATTTGATTTCATACGTTAAATCTAAAACCTGTATCAAGATCCTATCAATTCTCAAAACTTTAAAGAAACAAATATGCAAGTAAACCAATGTTAAATCAAAACCATCATCTCCTTCACTTGCATTTGTTATTGCTATTGCTCTCGCAAGTTCCTCCATTGTTTGAGCATTCCTACTTTCACTTAACAAATGACATGTATATTCAATTATTAAGAACCAAAGGTGACTAGGTGAGTGAAGTTTGAGCACAGGTAAATTGCTCAAGAATTTTAGGCAGCGTTTGCTTCCTTTATAGAATCTCATTTATGAAACTCAGAATCTGAAGGCTGTTCCTGATGTCTATCATCTAAACCAATCAACCCTTTGCCTTCTTGCGAATCTTCCGGAACATTCTGTAAAGAATCTTGAACATTTGGTGTTCCCTTCTCGGTTTGTGAATGATAGTTAAATGACACTGAAGGAGGCTGAGACGCTGTTTCCTCTGTCTGGTAAGCTGAATTATCTTTTGGCATCGATGTATCGGCAGTCATCTTCAAATCTTGATCTGATACAACTGCGGATGGGGTTTCTGTTGTCTGGTTCTGGCAAGGTTCAGAAGTAAATTTCTCAGTGGCATCCTTGCTTGATTCTTGACCGTTCTCTGGTGTTGTCATATCATTCAGAGCGTCTGAATGAGATACTCTGAATGATATGTAGACTCTGATGGATTCTCACATCTAGAAACATTTTCCATAGGAGCTTGTAGTCCATCATTAGCATTCAATGCTTGACCTGTAGCTGCATCTTCAGTTGCTTTTGCAGTCTCAGAATGTGACACTTCCGGTTGAGAATTGCCACTCGAAGTAACAGTCAACGCCTCCACTTGAGGTGTAAGCTCAGTATTTAGCATAGAACGGTCAGCAGTACCAGACGCCCTTCTGTCTCCATTTTCAGCAACTGAAGGGGCTTCTGCTACAAGGCTAGAAGTTACTGGTGTACTCAAAGTAGCATTTGACATTGCATTCACGGGAACCAGGTTACCAACAGGTAATGGAGAAGTGCTGCTCATAGTGCCAACACTTTTACTTGCAATTGCTGTAGGATTTTGAGTCTTGTTAAGTGATACCAATGCTGGAGGCTTGGTACAACGGATAAGACTTTCCTTAAATCCTTGTGTCTTTGCTTCGATTGCAATTGTTTTTGCATTCACACTAGCAGACTCAGAATGAGATGCAGTTGCTGCTCCAGAAACAAAGCCAGGAAGATTCTGTACTCTGGGACCCGTAGCTACAATTGGTTTCTGTAGATTAACCTTTGTATCCATTGATCCAACCTTCTTCACTGTAGTTACGGCACGACCATATTTAGGAGGGAATGGCTTCCCATTGGATGCATGTACACATTTTGAGCAATGCCATTCAGATTTTGGAATCCCTTTCAAATTGTTTGCCTGCAGACATTTCAAGTGGTATGCTTTTTCACAGGCATCACAAATCAGTATAGTGTCTACTTCATTGATTATAACTTCACACATCTGGCATGTCATTGCTCTGCTCATATAATCACTGGACGGTGGATTCCACACAGGATTCTGTTTGACCCGTAGATGCAGAAAATTATGGATTATCTTAACGATGTCACCATGGTTGTTTTGAAACAAAGAAGTCTGACCATAATGCACTCCCTGCATCCGCTGATTTGTGCCCGAGAATGTACCATGTGGAGTTTGAGACATGAATGGCCTCAAGTTTGGATCTCTTACCACGACAGAACTTTGAATAGGCACCTTCTTACTTGGAGCAGAACCGAATGATATAGTTGATTGAGGTTGGGCAGACCAGGATCCAGCATAGTAAGTTGCTCAGGATCACGTAAAAGTTTAGCAAAAAACTCGTTAGCAGCAATTAAGAAGTTTATTAGAGAACTAGAAACATGACTTGTAAATTTAAGTGACTCAAGATAGAAAACAGAAGCGGCATTTATCATTTCTTACGAGTCATGAACAGTAAGCTTTGCAAACTTTTAAGCAAGAAAACGGCCACATTCACAAGAAAAGTAATCTAACTTCTAAGCATAGAGGACTAACTACAGCTACAAGGCTAAGAACCTAATGCTGATATATGGCTATTATAATCACCTTTATAACTCTATAAAGCCATAGCAAACCAACCAGAATACGCTATTCTCCAAGTCAAAGTCTATCAGTTTCTTGTCACTAAAACTGCATCTACTGAAAACAAAGAGGACTTACCAGTGCCCTCAGAAGTAGCACCATTAAGCATCATCTTAGGCCTGAGATGGCTCCCAGCTGGATTAACCGTAGTAACTTCACTACCAATCCACTTATTAGCCACATAAACATTCTTTCCTACATAAACAAAGGGTGAATAAACATTCACGATGCCTGAAAATAGAGGTCTATGGTGCTTTTGAAAAGAGTACAGTATGATAAATAGCCATACCTTCAAGACCTGGAGATGCAACACCATTGTTCGGCCGTGACAAGTGAGACACCATAGGCGTCATAAACTGTTTTGCTTCTTCCATCTGTAATCAAAAACCCCAAACCCAAAAAAAAACATGATCAAAACCCCAAACAAAGAAAAATCATCTAAAAACAAAGTTCCAACCTTTCTTTTGCCAAGAGACATCTTCTCAGAGATAGTGATCTTAGGAGCTCTGAAACCTGATCTACAATTCAAACCCATATCTTCAATCAAACCTCTAACATCATCTCCACCGATGATATCCTTAGGAGTAAACTCTTGACACATCTCTGCTAGTTTCGACCTAGCTTCCACCATCAGCTCGAGTTCCATATCCGTAGGGGCTTTCCCTCCTCGCATCCTCCCTAACGCCGATATAACAAGCACAATCTCCGCCACTCTGTTCATCTCTTGGCCAAAGCGTCGTTTTTTCGCAGGAGGAGGAGGAGACATTGGTTCTCCTCCGTTACTAGATACAACGTTGACGTCCATTGAGATAAACCCTAGAAGAAGGGATTGGGTTTTTAAATTTTTGAAAAAAGAAGCGAAATTTAATACTTTTATTTTTTGCGGGTAGAGTTGTGCAACTCAATGAGTTGTTGTAACGAGTTTGATTGTTACCCAATTACGCGAAGGAGAGGCCGTAGATTTGTTAGAGAGAGAAAGATGATGACAATGACTTCTTTTTCTCTAGAGAGATTATAAGTGTTTTTTATTAAACTTTATTTGGAGAAATAAATCAATTAATAGCTTTTCCATCATGTAGTTAGGCCCATGTAAACCCATGTAGAAGAGTGTTGTAAAGCAATTACCTTCTTACAATGAAGTTGAAAAATTTACTCCATTTGTTTCAGATTAATAAATGTTTTCAAGATTTTACACATTAAAAGTAAATTGACTTTTAATTAAAATACCATTGTTTATATGATTAAATTTTTTTAACAATTTTAAATAAATATTTTTTTTCTCATCAACATAAACAACTCAAATTATAAATAAATAACCATTTAACAAACACATGTTTTTCAAAATTATATATATTGTTGTTTTTTAATAAAAATTATATAAAAGACTTTAAATTGCATATATATGTACACAAACGGTATAAGTTTGTTAATAGCAGTATAAATATAAATGTTGTTTTAACATATAAGTGTGTTAATGGTATGGCATATTCGGAACGCGTTAGACAGACATTATTCGGACGGTCGGATTGGACATATACAATATATAGAAAGAAAATAAAGGATTAATCAGAAATTATGTGGGATAAAAATTTTAAATTTTTTAATATATTATAAAACATGTCAATTTTTAACTATGTATAATATTAATACATTTCATATTTAGAACCGTCTAAAACATATAAATAGAATATATATATAAATTTAATATGGTGTAGTTTTCATGAAAATTATGAATATGAATATTATTTACATTTATTAAAATCAAATAATTAGACAAAATATTATTAAAAAAAAATAAAATAAAAAAGAAATAAAAAAAAATAGATTCGCGGCTAAAATCAAACATCCAATTTTTTAGACCGATGGGTATAAATAGGAGCAATTTTTTAGATCGATTGGTATAAATCGGAGCGATGAGTGGCGCCTAACCCCTAGCCCTTAGATGGCCTCGAAACCCACCTTTTAGAACGTGGATGGTATGTAATTACAAACAATATAATTTGTATTTATATACACGCAAACAGTATGAACTTTATAAATTGTATCTATACATTCACAAGCTGTCTGAATGTTGTTTTTATCATGTATGTAACAAAGAACATCGAATCCAGACTATATACATGCTGATACTTTTAAGTCTTACACATTTACAACGCAGCTTTTTACAGATAAATAGCAACAGCTTCACAAGTATCACTAATCTTGAGAAACCGTTATTATCTTACCAGAGGCTACATCACTGCAGACCATAACACCATTTTCAACATACACAATCTCTGTGTTTTTGATCTTGAAACCATGCGTAAACGGCAAAGGGAAACCTCTCTTAAGGCGTGTGTTTACGTACGGCAAAAACAAAGATTCAAGAATCGTCGACGCCACATCCTAGCAATAAACATCCCAGTTTAGTAGTCTCAAGCAAGAGTCATATATAGTCTTGTCTACAAGAAAACATAACTAACTTTTTACCTGAATATAGTTCGCTTGAAGATCTCCAAGTTTACTCCACGTCATCGTTGCATTGAAACCTTTTAACTTAAGGCTACCTGCTAAATTATTCTCTGCTATTTCCGCAGTACCCGCAACACTCATAGCCTGCAAACAAGAATCAGATTCAGGTTTTTAAAGAACTTGCTTCTCAACTAGATTGTTCTGTTGTATTATTGTTATTAGCATGTACCGTTGGTTCTATCAAAAAAAAAGAAGAGCATGTACCGTTGATAAGCGTGCTACGGGTAGGACTACTCCAGAGTTTTTGACATGGATTGATATCTCTAGATTAATCGTACCATCAATGCCATTCTCTGTGATGTTAACGGCAGGAGGAGAAGTTACAGACATGTTAAGCATCATTTTAACATCTGGATATTGTTTGTAGAGTTCTGGAAGTATGAGTTTCCAGTCAGATGTGCTTAGAGCTGACCCGTTCTTCGTTTGCTCGATATCCAGATGCATCTTCTTTGCCTAGGATTCAAAAAACCAAGCTTAAGAAACTTATTGTTCTTACCAAACTCATCTATGGAAACTTTTGGAACTTACAATGAAGTAGACAAGTGTTGCAGAGTTGAAAACTTCTTCTTTTATTGCAATTCCCATCATTCTTTTAACTTTGGGAAAGGAGGAAGAAGACTGAAATCCTGAAACTTTAACACCATCACCATTTGCCATGAACAAACCATTAATTCCAACTTCAACAGAAGAATTATCCAACACAGGGTTTCCTGTAAAAGTGAGGTTCACTGCAACATTGTCATCAATTTTTCCCTCTTTTGGAAGTGATTGCAACTTAGCATCAAGCTTCTTCATTTTCTCCAAAATCTTATTAGAAACAGTCTCTTCAACAGTTGAAATAATCTTCTTCTCAAATGCATCAACCACCCTACAAACAAAACAAACCAAAAAAAAGTAAGAATCTTTTTTTTTTAAATCTATAGTAATTAATACTTAACAACAGTTACCCTTGATACAGCCAAGAAGCACCACCATTGACATGAATACCAATGCTCTTCACCTTACAATCACTATCCCTTGAAGCAATCTTTAGACTTCCTTTATCACCAACCAAAGTGACAGTGCTTTTCAAATCCATTCCTTTAACCTTCATCATCACAATACAATCTCAAATGAGATGAACACAAAAAAAACAAGACCCAACTTTGGTTTCTCACAATTATCAGACCATAAAGACAAAACCCATTTCATAAAGGACATAACTTTCTTTCACTTTCACCTTAAAAGAAGCAACTCCATGATCATAGATATGAAAGAAGGAAGCTTTGTAAGTATAATACCAATCCATGTGACATCATAAAGGACATGACATCATACTTTGGTTTCCGACAATTATCCGACCATAAAGACAAAACCCATATCATAAAGTACATAACTTTTACCTTAACAGAAGCAGCACCATGATCAGAGATATGAAAGAAGGACGCTTTATAAGCATACGACCAATCCATGCTCACATTTGCTGTTGCCCCTGAAACACTCAAAACGAGTCCACCTTCTCCAGTCTCGACCTTCGATGACTGAACATCGACCGCGTAAATCTTGATATTGGACAGACCCATCCTTACTTTCCCTATCAAAGGGATCTTAACCTTCTTCTCTATCTCAGGTAGCTGAAGCGGAAGAGACGTGGATATCACCTTCTGGATGAGGAAGTCTTTAGCGAAGTCAAGACCCGTTTGCGAGACTTGTAAGGAGACATGTCCACCATCTTTGGACTGCGCCAAGGACGGTGAGATAGAGACGAAGAGAACAAGAAACGTTATCACTTTCGTGAGAACCATTTTTTGAAGAAGTGGGGCTTTGTTAGTAACGAAGAGAGATTGTTTAAAGAAGCCTTTGAAAGGTTTTGACTTTTCTACTTTTAGAAAGCAAACACGAATGTTACATGACCATAACGAATCAGTGTTTTATACGTTTTTCTTACAAAAGATGGAGACTTTTATAATAATGTTACAAAAAAAAAAATGAAGACTTGATGAATGTCTTTGGTTAAGTTAGTTAATAGCCTAACCAAAGATGAGGGATTGTCTGAAACTTCTTCTTGGCGATCCCTATTAAGTCGCAATACTCTGAGTGATCAAACAACAAGTCTCGGAAGTCCACAAACAGTTTCTCAAACACTTTCCACTGTACTTTGATCGGTCTTGAGTATGGATATGGCAGAAACCCCTGCAACTTGATAATCAGACAATGACTTAGTTTCCTACAAAACAAAAGTATCGAAGTCTTAATGTTTTCTTCTTACATCATATTCTTGTGCAATGGACTTCAGGACAAGAAACGTATGTTTCGTATCCTCTATATTGTCGAGAAGAGCAAGCCAAATCTTTGTAACGAGCTCATCAGCTTCTTCTTTTGATTTGCCACAAACAATCAATTGGTCTGCCACCAGAAATATATAAGGTAACATGTTTGGGATTCAATAAGGTGTGTCAATGGCATACTAATAGTGAACATAGTTACCAATCATGGTTCCATGTAGGACGCCTGAAGCAGGAGTAGTTGAAAGCTGAAGCTGATCTTTCAAGAATAAGTAAATATGTCCAAGCATTTCATCTATGTCTGTATCCACACCTAATATGTTTCTGCTGATGTATAAAGCCATAAATCTCCTGCAAGCTAAAAACTCTATTAAGTTCCTTGAGTCTAACTAACAAGTAGATATTTCTAAAGAATGAAACGTTTCAGGTAGCTTTTTTTGCATAGATTATCAACCGTTTGCTTGATCCTTGACGGATTGGTCCACTCCATCTCTGAGTTTTGTTAGCATGAGGATACGTCCGGTTAAGAGCAGCCTGCCATAAGCATTCTCCACGGAACAAATCAGCCCACTGTTTTCTAACACAGGATATATGTTCCCAGTCTGTTATTGGAACTCTGATGAATATCTCTATCAAGAGATCTTCTTGAAGGTATCCAAATGGGCTATCATCTTTGATTGTTGGGGCAATGTTATCTTTGTTTTGGTTCATTAACAAACCTGAAACAGCACATGTTCTTACATATGAGGAGGTCTCCAAAAATCCAGCAAGTACAGAGGGATAAACAGAACATTTTTGTGAATAGCACTCATGAAAATAACAAAAAGGAAACATATTCCCAACGAAAAAGGCTAAGCAGACAGATGAGGATAACTTTTTTGTTCAGTCAACGAACTTTGAGTAATAAAAAAAAAACCATTTGACAATTATTAGTTAAGAAAAACAAAGAGGAGCATCGGTTTCCAAAAGCGACGATCGAATGAACTTACCAGAGGTGAGGAAGTCCCTGGAGAAGAAAGAAGAGTATTTGCATCCTATATACAAACTAAACCCCTAAATTAACTATCTACCCATTTTCTCTCTTATCTCTCCTCCCCCCCTCTCACTATTTTTCCCCCAAAACCATGGTATATTGCTAATATTCAAGTTCTTTATGTATTTTCAGCCAATTCACCCAAGAAAGAAACTAGTGTGTGAGAGAAAAGAGAGGACGACGTGGCAGAGGAAAACAAAACACACACACACACAAAGACAAATGGGGAAATGATTACATGGATCAATGACCACAGGCTCCCTGATTCGGTTTGATTTAATCTAATCCAGACCGAACCGGAAACTAGAGTAGGTTCCAAACACATAAAAGTTGACAGGAGAAGCCCAATAAAGAAAAGCCCAATATTTGGAAAAGCCCTGTTATTTGAATTACAGAAGATAGAGATGCGGAGGGAGAGAAGGGTGAAGTAGTAAATTGGGAGAGAAGAAGAGGCAATGTGATTTATGAGTCAATGGAAAGACAAGAGATTGTGGCTTTACTGACAATATTCTCTGTGAGTGCCCCCACGTTTTTACTCCCTCCTTCCTTCCCCTTAGATCTCTCTCTCGCTGCTCAGGCCATAAACCAAAAGACCCTTCTTTTTTTCTTTTTCAGATCACTATTTTCATCTCAGTATCAATAAAAGAGAAATAGACTTTAAGAAAAGTAAAAGACTATTTTGACCTATAAAAGCGAAAAGGTCAATTGACCCAAGAAAAAACCTCTTCCTCTTCGTAAGGGTTTTTAAAAAAAGAAGATTTGTTTGTTTCTTTGGAATTTGAAATCAGGAAGTTAATTATGAATAGTATAATGAGATCTGTTTAGAAATCAATACTTATTCAGTCTCTCACATTATAATTGTGCACCTCCCCTCAATAGTATCAACTTTTGATTATTTAGGAGTAGAAGACACAATAAAGCTTTCTTCTCTCTCTCCTCAAGTGGTTCGGTTACTCTTTCATTTGAGATATCTCCTGTCTTTGTCACTTTGGTCTTTGTCTCTCTCATCTTTCAATTTTGCTTACTTAAAGTTTCAACCTTTTTGTTTCCTTTTCTTTTTTTTTTTCCTCAGTCACACTCTCTGAGTGTAGCTTCAGTGGACTGTTTAGCAGATAATGCTAGTAAGGACTTGATCTGTAGTTTCATACAACTGTTTGATCTGGTGGAGACTTTGGTAGTTCTAAGTGTTTCCATCTCCTGTCTGTCTCTCTAGGTTATGATTCTCTTGAGATCTCTCTAGATTCATACATTCCTGGTCTGATTCGTTAGAAAGGGTTAGAGTTCGTTGTGTCGGAAGAAGAACACCACTATCATCCCCTTTTGTGTTCATGCAAAGAATCTTTTTTTTAGATCTATAAAGACACACTCTCCTCCAAGTGTTTGAGGAAATGAATTTCTTTAAAGTCCGAAACTTTCTCAAGTCAAAGAAGCCAAACCTAGAGAAAGAGGAGCAAGAGCAGGCAAGGAGTGAGAACACAGTACCTGTAGCGACAGATTTGAGGAAAGCAGATGAGATCGAAGACGACGAGGACGATGATTTCATCACCAATGAGGTTAAGAGAAGACTAAAGGAGTTGAGGAGAAACAGTTTCATGGTCTTGATACCTGAAGAAGATGAAGAAGAGGAAGACAAGGAGTCTTATCTAGGCGAAGATGAAGGAGGGGAAGACAAGTGTTCAAGTGAGTGGAGAGATGTTGTCGCTGAAGGACTTCAATGGTGGGGTGGTTTTGATGCTGTCTATGAAAAGTATTGTGAGCGTATGCTCTTCTTTGATCGCTTAACCTCTCAACAGCTTAAAGAAACTGGTATATAATATTTCTTGCTTTGATCTTTATCAATGGTTAGACTAGGATTGTGTAATGCCTTATAAAGATATTAACTTTGTTATTCACTTTCTTAGGTATTGGAGTTACTTCATGTCCTTCAACACCATCACCAAGATCTGCAACTAAGAAGCTTCCATCGCCTTTTCGATGTCTTTCTTTGAAAAAGTTTGATGTTCCAGAGGAAGATTTAGAGCATTTGCAGCAGACAGGGATCGATCCTTGTCAAGATCTTGAGACAGCCTATGTTGCTCAGCTCTGCCTCACTTGGGAAGCACTTCACTGTCAATACACTCAGCTTAGCCACTTAATCTCAAGCCAACCGGAGACCTTGACTTGCTACAACCACACCGCTCAACAGTTTCAGCAGTTCTTGGTGTTGCTGCAGAGGTACATAGAGAATGAACCGTTTGAGCAGGGGTCGAGATCTGAGCTCTATGCTCGTGCTAGAAACGCAATGCCTAAGCTACTTCAAGCTCCCAAGATTCAAGGTGATTTTCCTAATCTCTCACCTTGTGTTTATTAAGTGAAGCAGTTAACACTCTTAGGTTGAAACATCTCAGGGACAGATGAAAAGGAGATGGAGAAAGTTACAGAAGACTTCATGGTCCTAGCTGAGGATCTCATCAAGATCCTTGAGAGCTCAATCCTTACTTTCAATGTTTTCTTGAAGATGGATAAGAAGAAACCAAATGGGGTTACTAACTTGTTTGGGAACCACAATATGAATTCTACAACCCCTTTGCAACTAGTTCAGTCATCTATTGAGAAGGTACGGTCTATGTCTTGGAAGCAGTGTATATAGATGCTTCTTTGGTGTGTCTCATAAAATTTGAGTTCTCTTTGCAGAAAAGGGTGAAAGCGAAGGAGCTTTCCAAGAAGACAAAAGGGCTGAGAAAGAAGGCTTGGCCTCAAACATGGGAAGGTGTGCAGCTCTTGTGTGCAGCCATTGACATCAAACTAGCAACAAGGGTTCTCAGAATGTCGAAAATCAGTAAAGAGCAGCTACTATGGTGTGAAGAGAAGATGAAGAAACTCAACTTTGCTGGTGGGAAGCTTCAAAGACACCCATCTCCCATTCTTTTCCCCTGTTGATGAATGATGTTGAGACAAACTAATGAAGTGATTCTGTGTTCTATTTGCTTAATAATCTTTGCATTTAAGATTCCAAATCCAAGAAGAGTTTTGCTTTATGGGCAATTAGATTTAGTATCAAGGGACCATTTTCTCCATGTGTTGTCGTTTGGATGTAAGCACATATGAAAGAATCCAATGTTTGTCTTGTTGATGGGAGGCTAGATCTTATGATTGTGATGGACAAATCTTATTCTTCTTCCATCACTTTCATTGCTTTTGGACAGTCTTTGATGTATCATTAAAGGACTTTTTTTTATCTTTCTTTCTCTACCAACATGCTTCATATTTAAACCAAATCCTAAGAACTATGCTAAATGAGAACATTATAAATCTGAAAACTTGTTTGTTTGGTTTGGTTTTTATGTTTAAAAAAAAAAACTTATGAAACTCTTCAAGTTAAATTCGTGTAAGAAAATGAAAAAAAAACTAAAGTGGGTGTATTATGTTGGTGGTAGCAACAGGCGCAACAGAGATAAAGCCACGTGAACGTATCTCTTTCAATTAGAAGTCTCAACACGTGTCAAACCTAGTCATCCATTTTAGAACCAAAATGACGATAGAAGGCTTACTTTACCACCATGATCAAAACCATACAGAGGATGTTTCAGTCATTACCCAGTTAAGAGGACATCTTCGTGTGCGAATCCGTCGTGATTCTTAATTGCTTTGGTTAATGTTGTTAAAAATACGTAAATTAAAAGATTAAACACCCCAATAATTGCCTTCGGAAAAAAATATAAAAGAAAAAACATTAACTCTTGACTTGGTGACTCGACAAGAAGCCTTTGGTACAAACTTTTCAAAGGGGTTAGTTTTAATCTTTCTCTGGGTCTCTTCTCTCTCTGTGTGACATTTCATATCAAAGAAAAACACTTTCATGGAGGCTTAAAACATCACCCACCATCAGGTAACTCTTAACTCTTAGGCTTCCCTTTCTCCTCTTCGTATCTGCTGCATAAGTTTATCTACTTTTGTTTCTTCCACAAGGAGCTAGTTTGTGTATTTAAAGAAAGGATAAAGTAAAGTATATGTGTTAATTAAAACTATGATCCTCGGTTATAGACTTGGGATACGATTTTACTGTTTTGTAACGAGGTTGATGAACGAGTCCAATACTTTTTTAAGAGATGGCGTCTTTTTGATGATCCTTGTGAGTTTTTTTTTGCTGATGGTTTGGGTTGACTCAACTTTTAGCTTATGAAATTAGAGGATCGTTTCTGAAATTTCGATCCTTGATGGTTAGATTTCATTCATATGTTAAACATGGACTCAAAATTTTGGGACTTTTGATGAAATATCGTTGACAAAAAGGATCATATCTTATAAAGTTCTCAGCTTTTGATTCTGTTATGAGCTTTGGTTGTAAGATTAGTTCTTTGTGTTAGGTACTATGAAACCATCTTGACTGAAAAATATGATGTTTTTTGGTTGATGTGTAGAAAGTATGACGACGCAGAGCGCTATGAGAATGGTGGAAGGTGACCATGTGAAAAGTTGGCAGGCATCTAGGGACACTACTGGGATATTTGGTTCACATGATATGGCTGTTGAAGATTTAAGGTTTCTTATGGAAAGAAATAGATTGGATAGTCGTGTTGGTGGTGGTGGTGGTGATCATATCCCTAATAGGAGTGGGAGCGCGCCGCCTAGCATGGAAGGTTCATTTGCAGCTCTTAGGAATCTCTTGAAACAACAAGAAGGTAGTAGTACTAGTAGCAGCTCTGAAGTTTTTAGTAGAGCTATTGAGAATTACGGCTCTGAGGAAGAGTTACGTAGTGATCCTGGCTATGTAGCTTACTATTTGTCCAACATCAACTTGAATCCGAGGCTTCCTCCTCCGTTGATCTCACGTGAGAATCAGCACTTGCTGCGTCATTTGGGTGGGGTTAGTGATGGGAATAGTATGAGTCCAGCAGCGTCCTGGGATGATATGGGGATAAGATCTTCATTGCTTGCTTCTAGAACTGCGCTTTCGACACATAGAGAGGAGCCTGAGGAAGAGGCGTCTTCAGGTGAACAAATGGCTTATGCTTCTTTCCCTGGTCGTCGTAAGAGCTTTGCTGATATCATTCAGGTACATGGTTCTGCTTTGATTCTATCACTTGTTTCTAAAAATAGTAGACTTTTTTTTGTATCTTAAGGAAGATTCTCTCTTTACACTTTGTTTTGTGTTCAAGCGGCCTCATTCGGCAGGGAATCATGCAACAGCAGAAGACGTCCATGCCCTTTCTTCTGGTATAGCTTCAGAAAGCACAAGAAGGTTACCGGAGGTTGATATAAGTTCGGTTAGTCTGCTGAGGGAGACAGATTCTCTCTCTATTGAGGCTATTGCTAGTGAGGATACTTATACAACTGATTTGGGCTCACAGAGTTCTCCTAACACGCAGAAAGAGAGATCAAACGCGAGGGTAGCCAGCCACGAGGATAACAATCTATCTGCTTTTGGTGCTTCTGCTCCATCATCTGCTGCTTCTAGAATGAGAGGGAACCAAGAAGAACAACAATCTCCTGGAAGGAGAATGCCTGTGCAATATACACCTTCATCATATCAGGTTCAAGCTAGTCCCCCACAACAAATGACCTATCCGAGGATGGGTGGTACACACGACATGATGCAGAACTTGCCTAGGATTGCAACTGGCGAGGTACATTCGAGTTTCCAATCTCCTCATGGTTTGACATCGCCTCCTATGTATACATCAACAGCTGCATATATGACATCTCTGAGCCCATTTTACAATCATAACTTTCAGTCCTCGGGTATGTACATCCCTCAGTATAATTATAGCGGTTATCCTCCTACCTCTGGTGTTGTCCCTCAGTATATGAGCGGATACCCATCTCATGAAGCTACTGTTCCTATGCCATATGATATCTCATCGACTTCTTCGGGCTACAACAACTCCTTCCCTCGTGGATCCTTTTCACCTACTGGACAGAACACTCCTTTCGTGGATCCTTTTCAGCTGCAATATTACCAACAGGCTCAAGCAGACCCGTATTCTCCTTCTTTTCATACCAGCACTGATTCGTATGGACAGAAAGACCAACAAGCTTCTGGCTTCATGGCCAATCAAGAACCTCACAGCAATCCATTGAGTCCAAGTTTTGGGTTGCAAAGTCCGCGGCACATGGGGAACTACTTTGCAGTGCCGCCTGGTGTAAGAGTCATGCCGCAGTATCCGGGATCACCTCTTGCTAGTCCAGTGTTGCCATCCTCACCGGTTGGCGGGATGATGAGCCACTTTGGAAGACGAAGTGAAACAAGGTATCATCAACAAGGACCTGGTAGAAATACAGGGATTTACCCTGGTGGTTGGCAAGGGAACAGAGGAGGAGCCAGCAGCAGCGTAGATGATTTTAAAAGGCATTCTTTTCTTGATGAACTCAAGTCACCAAATGCTCGTAAAATGGAGCTGTCTGATATTGCAGGGCGTGTTATTGAATTCAGGCAGTGTTTCTATTCTGATATCTATTCTATAATTCTGATTTAATATTTTGAAAGCATCAAAATATAATATCATTTTACTACTCTTTTTTTGTTATCTTCAGCGTTGATCAGCATGGCAGCCGGTTTATTCAGCAGAAGTTGGAGCATTGTTCTGATGAGGAGAAGGCATCTGTTTTCAGTGAGGTTCTTCCACAAGCTTCGAAATTAATGACTGACGTCTTTGGAAATTATGTTATCCAAAAAGTGAGCCATTTTTCTTTTATATTGGAAAGTTTTTCTTCTCCATTATAAGTTTGTTGATAGATAGTAATGTTGGGATCAGTTCATAGAACATGGAACTCCAGCGCAGAGAGAAGAACTTGTGAAGCAACTTGCTGGTCAGATGGTTTCTCTAAGCTTGCAGATGTATGGATGTCGTGTGATACAAAAGGTAAATGAGTAATGTTAGTTTCCGCATATCATTGTCAATGTCTAGATTAAATGGTTGTTAAAGTTTATATGTACTTGTTTGTATGTTATGATATTCATAGGCCCTTGAAGTGATAGATGTTGACCAAAAGACAGAACTGACTCGTGAGCTCGATGGGAATGTGCTGAAGTGTGTTAGAGACCAAAACGGAAATCATGTTATTCAAAAGTGTATCGAGAGTATGCCTGCCTCTAGGATTGGATTCATAATTTCAGCTTTCCGTGGTCAAGTTGCCACTCTTTCCACTCATCCTTATGGATGCCGAGTTATCCAGGTAAATGGATAAGAGTGACGCTTTCTTGTGTGGTTGTGACTTGAAATGTTCACTCTTTTTCTTTTTTCTTTTGCTATAGAGAATCTTGGAGCATTGCTCAGATGATGAGGAGACTCGTTGTATAATAGATGAAATCTTGGAATCCGCTTTTGCTCTTGCTCATGATCAGTATGGGAATTATGTCACTCAGGTATGGTTAACTCGGATCAGTGTCTCCCTTGTATCTTCATTTTGTTCTTAGTCTTGGTTTTTTTTGTTTATGTTTTGCTTGTAGCATGTCCTGGAGAGGGGGAAGCCTGACGAAAGGAGACAGATCATTGAGAAGTTGACAGGGAATGTTGTTCAGATGAGTCAGCACAAATACGCGTCCAACGTTGTGGAGAAATGTCTTGAATATGCTGATAGTACCGAGAGAGAGTTGCTGATTGAAGAGATAATGGGAAAATCCGAGGAAGACAATCACTTACTGGTAAGAACACAACAGTAAAGAAAGCTCTCTGGGAACCACACATGACTTCATTTAACATTCTATTTTCTTCCCCAGGCGATGATGAAAGATCAGTATGCAAATTATGTGGTCCAGAAAGTCTTGGAGATAAGCAAAGATGAGCAAAGGGAGATTCTGGTGCAGAGAATGAAGATTCATCTCGAGAGTTTGAGGAAATATACATATGGGAAACACATAGTAGCCCGGTTCGAACAACTGTTTGGTGAAGGTAGCTGTTTTCTCTAAAACCATGAACTTAATTTGTGCTCTAATGTTCTGAACTTCTGTTGCGTCAATGTTGCAGAGAGTGAAGCTTCAGAAGGAGCAGAAGGTTAGACAGGAGGTTTCATTTGGGTCGCTGATTTGGACAATGTTCGAGTTGTTAGAAGAATAAATATATATTTGAAAATGCTTATGTATATATGTGCTTGTAACTATGAATGGAAGTGTGATGGTTTGTGTATATTATGTGTGGACATAATTTGTGGTTACTGATTTGCTCTTTGCTTTTGCTTTTCACTGTGTAGAACATAGACGATTGTTTAGCCTTAACAAAACAGAACTCAGATTCTTACTTCTCATGGGAATCAAAACTCTCCCAAGTGCCCAAAAAAACATCTCATATGCCAAAGCCACGCCACCACATTTATGATTTCGAAATGTGATAAAGCGGCTTTAGCTTAAAGTAACAACAATTGTAATCTAAAAGTCTCAATTTTCGTCATTATATGAGTGGTTTGGTGTTGGAGGCGAGTAAAATATCTTTCCAGGCTTCATAGAAGACCCAAGTGATGCCTGAAGACGGCATGACTTTCAAACAACTTGCTCCCCAACCTCTGTAGAGTCCCATCACTCCTCTTTCCTTCACTACTTCTGCTATAGCCGCAACCATGTTAGGTGGGCATTCTCCTTTCAGAGCTCCCACCATCAACCGCTTCCTCGCCACTTCCAATGGGAAGCTAATGGTGCTAGCCGTTAGACCTGACACACCATTCACAATCCGATGAGCTCCAAACGTGACTTGAGTCAAGAAAAACTAAAAGAAACTTGTATTTTAATCATTTACCGGCTAAAGCTCCAAGAAGAAGCATCTCTGGACGGCTTAAAGCCTTCTTGTTCTTGGATTTGCAGTAAGTGGTTTTCATTGTGTCATACATGAAGTAATAACATGTGCTGTAAGGAAGCATCCCAACCAGTGTTGGCCCCAAGCCAGCATAGAATCCACGGATTCCATCGTCTCTTAAAATCCTTGGAACTGCAAGTCTTAAGCTTGGATAAATCTCAGGGCTCACAGTCAATCTATCCTGGTAAAATGGTAAAAGATCATAAAAAATCAGTCTCTTATTGACACTAACAACATCAAGAAAAGCTTTTACATTTTGATTTTGAACGAACCTTGAGGACTTCAAGAGGATGGCAAACAAGTGTACTAGCAACACCTGCAGCTGCACCAGCAACAGCAACAGGAGAGAGCCAAGATATAGACGGACTGAAACTAAAATCACCAATCTCAATCTTTGCCTGCTCAATCTTCTTCAGCTTCTCTTGTGCTGATGTCATCACACGCTTCACACACTCAAAAGTGCTCAACTCAATGGCTTGAGTTGGGATGATACGAATCATGTTGATCTCGTTGCCAGCCCAAAGACCAACCCATCCTTGCTTCTGTATGATTTCTACAAAGCTACCTGGAATGGTTCTTGATCCAACACCAACAATCATCCTTGTTCTGCCAGGTTCCACACAGCAACAATGCAGTTAAGACAAAAGTTTAAACATCATTCATTGAGGAGATAACAAGTGTGCAGACCTTATTGTCTCGAGTGGAGCAAGGACAGCTTTAGTCATAGCTCCAGCTAAAGCTCCACTCAGAAACTCACGAGCTTCCCTAGACTTGAAGAAATCCTGAAATAACAAAACACACAGCACAGAGAAACATCATATTACACATTAGTTTCCCATTAGACATACACCACAACACAACAACACAAGACTCATAAGAAACAGAAAGGAACTCACTTTAACAGGAATGGTAAAGTCAGGAAACTGAGGCTGGAGAGGAAGAGGAGACTCCGAAGGAGCAGAGGAAACAGAGTCCTTCACCATAGTAACGAACCCTTCTTTTGGTACAACCATTGTCATTCTCTCTCTCTATCTGACTCCTGTTTATTCTGTCTGAAAGTGTTTTTGTTTTATCAGAAGGACAGAACAGGAGATTCAAAAAGGGTTAACAAGAAGAATATTCTCAATTAAAACATAACTATAAAAAGAACAAACTTTTTAGATTATGAAGAGATCTAAAAAGAGTCTGGTTTGAGATACGAGACAGAAATAGAGTGTGTGAACATTCTGCAAGTGAAGAAGGGTGTTTAGATTTTAAGGGAAAGATTTAACCTTTCTAGGGTTTATGTGGGGTGCTCATTTCTGTCCCTTTATTTTCTCCAAATATATCTTTTGTTTTGTTTGGAAGCTGTAACCGGTTAAATCCGGTTCAACAGAATTTAATCAGCCGGTTCGGTCCAAGGTTTTTGTCAAAAAAATGTTAATCGAGACGGTGAAGTGAGAGCCGCCGAGTCTTATCCGACCAGTTACTTTCTCACTCACAATCAAGAAGATATGTCTTGCTTGGTCTCATCAACTTGCTCACACCTCCCCTTCGACTCGAGTCTCACTCGTTCAACTCGTTCCAGCAAACTCGCCTCTTCAGTCTCATGGCAATCTTCATTTCCAAAACTCTCCATCCATATCGGCTCTGTTATCTCCTCTCCCATTGTCAAGAAGGTAAAGCTCTCTTCTTGCCTTGTCTCTACAGAGAGTAACCATACCTTGTTTGTCTAGCTTGTTTTGGCGTTGTGCTGTTCTTGATTTTGGAGCTTAGTGTATGTTCTTGTTTGTTTGAGCTTGTTCTGTAATTTCTCGGTTTGTTAAATCAGAATCTAGGGTTCTTGTGGATTCTCTTCTCAAATTTCATTACTTTATCAATAGGGTATGTAAAGATTCCTTAAAAGTTTCCTTTCTTTCTTTGTTTAGGACTCTTTGTTTGCAGCTTAGTGCGTGTTCTTGTATGTTTGAACTCGTTCTGTCATTTAGGATTATTCTCTTTAAAGTTTATTACTTTATCTGTTGGGTATTTCAAGATTCATTCAAAGTTTCGTTCTTTATCTATTTTAGGTTGGTTACCAAATTGTTCTTACAAGGTTTGTTTTTGATGGGTTGTTTAGGACTCTTTTGTGCAAGCTGCGTGGACAAGAAGATCACGTGGTGAAGCAGCGAAAAGACCCAACAAGAAGTCATGGAAGCAAAGAACAGACATGTACATGAGACCTTTCCTTCTCAATGTCTTCTTCTCGAGGAAGTTCATACACGCCAAAGTGATGCATCGACCAACAAGCAAAGTCATTTCTGTGGCCACCACTAACGCAAGAGATATTAGGACGAATATACCTTCTCTTGTGGATGACGAAGCGTGCAGACTCATTGGTAAGCTCATAGCTGAGCGTTCAATGGAAGCAGACGTCTATGCTGTCTCTTATGAGCCAAGAAAGGGAGAGAGGATTGAAGGGAAGCTAGGGATTGTGATTGATACCATTAAGGAACATGGCATTGTTTTTGTTCCTTGATTATGTGTTCTCACCAATCACCATTCTTGTGACAAGACAGTGTTGAAAGAAGATGGAGTAGTTAAAAGATGATTATATATGATTTTATTATATAGTCTGTACACTTTATTTCTTCTTGTCACAAGACATGTATCTAATCAAAATCTCTTCAAAAACACTTTCCTCACAAGGAATATGAATCCCTCCTTCATGTTCATAACCAAACTCATCAGCTACTTCATCCATCAAAACCTTAAATTCAGGGTACTGAAGATACTTGGTTGGTATAACAAACCTCTGCATCTCATCCCCTACATAGACCGCAAGATGCCCTCTGGGGACACCGTTTTGGTCTCTGGCTCGTCTCCTACCATCAGATAATTCCCCTGAGAGAAGACTGTCCTTTAGGTTCTTATCTGATCTTCTGCTTCGTCTCTTTTCCTGGTTCTTGAGACGTACGATGAAATCTAGCGATATCATTTTTGTTGAATGAGTCAAAAGATAGGAAAACCAAACGGAAAATTGTGTATTGAGAAAATGTTCAAAAAATATTTTTATTTAATCAAAGTCTAATGACTTTTCATTTGATAGATCATAGAACTGTAAAGATCTTCTTGAAGTTGTTATCTTCATAGAAAAATAAAAATAAAGAACAAGCTAGGTTATAGAAGCCCCTAGTTGCTCTTGTTTCTTTATTTTTTTTCTTGTTTTATCCGTTTGTTGTAATGATCTGTCTACCATTTATGTCTTTTGTTTTCTTGGACAACAAGCTATGTAAGAAGACTATTATTGGCAACACCAACCATAGTACAGTCGTCCCTACCGTACAGTTGGTACGAGGTCATTGTCCGGTGAATCCAGTTCACAAATTTACACCAAAACTTTCGCATTGTCAACTATTTTTTATTAAGTTAAAATAGGCATTAACCATTTCCACAGATCATATATCTTATGCAATAACTTTCATATATCTAAATCGATCACATTATTTTGCATATCATTTACTGTACACAAGCTTGTTCAATAGCTGAAACAGTTTGCTTCACATCCACTCCTATATTGCAGATATTGGCAAGCGCTCCTGTATACTTCAAACCGTAATCCATCGTTGCTACGCAATGATTCTTGAAGCTATTAACCTGCGAGTTTTATTCGATGATATAATAGTTTAATGGTTGTTGCTTAAAGTACAAGTATTTAAGATATGGTTATGGTTATTACCAGTGTCTTGAAGCAGTCCCAGTCGTCTACAAGAGGTTGTCCTGTTGTTCTTGTGGAAGTTAAGAGGTTTAAGACATTGGTTTGTTTAAGGGAAAGTCTTAGAATCTCTATAATGTTCTGATCGATTTGTTTCCTATGATTCATTTCTTCAAACAGCTTCTTCTGAAGTTCTTGTATTTCAGGTGACCCGATTGGAGATATTTGAATCTAAGATATAAATAGTGAAAATTCAAAAAAAAAAAAAGAACTTTTTTGGTTTATTATTCAGTCTTGAAAGATCAGACTTTACCTTGCTCTGGAGATATAACAAAGGGATATCACGAGTATTAACCAAACTTGAAGTAGAGATTGGTGAAGCAGTGAATCCAGCGGAAGTGAAGTTTTCGTTTTTAGGATTGGTTCCAATGTAAGAGACAAGATAGTCTTTAAGAAGCTCCTCTGATCCGAAATAGCTGACATGAGAACTCATCTCTGGATCAGCATCAGAACCTGTTCTTCTCTTTACAACTTGGTATTGCTGTTTCAAAGTCTCTTTGCTCATGTCATGACGCTCACTGTCCCCAACAAGAAGAAGTGATTCTCAAAGTCCTGAATATTTATTTGATATGACATAAAGATTTGAGTCTTTGTACCTGTCCTCAAGCCAAGAGACGCTAAATACATCGCCGAGACACACACCATGATATTCAGGAGGAGGAGAAGGATAATCACCACCACAGTAGATTCCATAACTGTTCTCTGACGCATTAGAAGCAGTTACTGCAAATATGCTGAGATTTGTCTTTAAAATCCCTTCAAAGATACTACCAGATTCACATGCTTCAACATAAATCACCTAACATCACACACACACAGAAAACAACTCAAAGATTCAAGAACAGAACACACATATAAAAAGATGCTAGAGAGATGATATTGAATAAGATTTGAGTGAAGTACCATCTTCCTGTATCTTTTAAGATTATGCATCTTCTCCAAGACTTTAATGAAATCTTTTGCATGGACATCTTCACCATCAGGCATCGCTGAGATTAATAAACATCGATCAAGAAAGTATAATCATGAGAAACATCTTTAATGATAGATGTATACTGATAGTAAAATACATAGTAACCCAGGAGATCCATGGTCAGCATAGTAGATGAAGATATCATCATTAGGACCACTTTTCACAACTTTGCCACTTCCCCCTCTGATGCCACTTTCGTTTCCAAGTATCACATTATAAAAGTTCTTCACATTAACAGCTTCTCCGGTGTAGTCCTATATCAACCAAAAAAATATGTTGATTCATTTATAAAGTGCACAAAACAAGTAAGAAAATAACAACCTTAGGAACTCCTTCATAAACATCTCCACCATCAGGTTTATTGATGATAACTCCAGGCCTGGGATTCTCTGGGTTAAATGCGATATCATCATACATAAACACAATAATGTTTTCATCTTTTAGACCGCCTTTTCGCAGCACCTGATATGCATGGCATATGTCAGCCTGTGAACCAAAACAACAGTAGATTTAGTTCATAGAATCTCTTTAGGACTACCTTTTTTTCTTATAGTTAAACTTTTTGATGTAAAAAAAAATCAAAAACCTGATGCCTGTAGTTATAATAACTCTTTGATCCAGCAACTAGAACAGCCCATCTTGTGCCTTTTGCCCCATCTTCAGATCCAATATCATGAAGCAACTGAGGTTTGCGAGAATCAGCTGAGTAAAAGAGCAGAGCACAAAGAAAAACAAGAACTTGAAGGTGACCAAGAGAAGACATTGTCTGAATTTTGCTCCTAAAGAACTTTGTTTTGCTCTCTCTGTGTAAAATGTTCTTGAATCTGATGAGTATATAGCAAAAGTAATTTGCTTATTAGAGTTTTGAGTGTGTGGATGCAAAAAGTAACGCATGACGTATCACACCTAAGCACACTGCATGTTATTAACTAACTGCCTTGAAATGTTAATTGCTTTGTTTGTTAGCTTGTCAGTTTTTGACATTTTTCCCTTTTTATTATTATCTATAAATGTCTTTTGACCAGCCTTTGCTATATGCCTATATCTATGAATGCATATTAATCAGTGATTAAACTAATAAATAGTTATTATATATATATATATACCTTCCACTTTTTTCCTTAATTGCTAGATATAAAGTAGATTTTTACTAATGACTTTATACTATTACTCACATTTAGAGTTTTATAATTAGGCCTGTCACAAATAACTAATTTAACTATTTTAGGTGTTGTGTCTGTATATACGGACATACTTTTCTTACGGATATTTATTGGATTATATCCTATTAATTCAAATATAGCATGATAGATTATTATATATGTTCATAAAAAATAAATCAAATATTAAACTGCTTGTATATGACAAAGTAGAAAAACACTCACATATTAGAAATATTTTAAAAAATATTTTTATACAAATTATTTTTGATTAATATTTAATTTTAAATTTTTTATATCTTTATTTTTAAATTTTGTAATATAAAAATATACTATCAATATAACTACAATATATAGAAGATTTATCTTATTTTTAAAGTATGTTTTTATTCTGAAACTTTATCATAATAATCATCATCTAATATTATATATAAATCTAATATTACTCATACCTAATAAATTATATGTAAAATTTATTAAGGGTAACAATGCATTTGGCTGTATAATTTTATACGCTGATTTATTATAATATTTCAATTATGAAAAAATTACATAGACGATAATAGTATATGCCTTATGATGATCTATAACTAATTGCATCACCTGAATAGTCATATGAAGATTCACGTATGGCCGAGTTTACTTGCACCATATTAAAGATCCTTTGTAAGTCTTTCTGCCTTTCTTTCATAGTCTATATAATTGTTTAATAAATCGCTTACATCAAATATTGAAACTTGGATTTCCTAATATAGAAATATTAGTGAATCTTTAGTTAAACCATTGAAATAAGGGTGATTTCACTAAACAATCTTATTTTTAATGTGAGAATTTTGATGTGAAAAATCACTTTTCAAATAATAATATCTCTCTGTTTCATATTAAGTGTCGTTGTAGAGAATTTTTTTGTTATAAAATAAGTGTCGTTTTCAGTTTTCAATGCAAAATTTATTAGTTTTATTACGTAATTTATTTTTCTATTGGTTAAAATGTGATTAGGTGTATAGCTAATTGTGTTTTTATATGGAAAATATGTAAAATTAATTGTTTTCTTAATTTATGTGCTTCCGTTTTATATTAAGTGCTTTATTGTAGATAATTTTTTTCGTTACAAAATAAGTGTCGTTTTCAGTTTTCAATGCAAAATTTATTAGTTTTATTTCGTAATTTATTTTTCTATTGATTAAAATGTGGTTAGGTATATAGATAATTGTGTTTTATATGGAAAATATGTAAAATTAATTATTTTCTTAATTCGTGTGTATAACTCTAAAATGACACTTATAATCAAACAGAGGGAGTAGTATATAAATAGATAGATAAGTGGTATTACTTTCGTAATTAATACTCCCTCCGTTTCAAATTATTTGTCATTGTAGAGTAAAAATTTCGTTTTAAAATAAGTGTCGTTTTATAATTTCAATGCAAAATTTATTGATTTTAAATGTCATTCTATGTTTTTCATTGGTTGAAAAGTGGCCGGTTAGGTGTATAAGTAATTGTGTTTTTATTTTGAAAATATGTAAAATTAATTGTTTCCTTAATCTGTGTGAAAACGTATAAAATAACAATTAAACTGAAATGGAGGGAGTAGTACATAAGTGGTATTACTTTCGTAATTAATTAGACAATTCCTTGAAACTTAATGAGCTGTTAGACTATAAATACTCATCAATAGTGCTCGATTTATAAGTTAATTAGGATCACCAAATTAGCAATTAGTAACTGTGCGGACTACATCTCGTCCTATTACATACAAAAAAATATTCCGTCCGTTTCAGTTTAATTGTCATTCTAAGTTTTTAAACACAGATTAAGAAAACATTTAATTTTACATATTTTCAGTATAAAAACACAATTACCAATACACCTAACCACTTTTAAACCAATAGAAAAATAGAATATCATATAAACCTAATAATTTTTGTCTCGAAACTCTAAAACAACACTTATTTTGAAATGGAATTTTTCCTCTAAAATGACATCTAATTCGAAACAGAGCTAGGGAGTAAGAATTTCCGTCTAGTAGAGCAGTTAGCACAAACTTACTCATTGTTTTCTTCTTTACGAATATAAACAAGGATGCATACACAATATATTCATTAATAGCTTAATCAAAACTAAAGACACAAGAATGGCTTCACTCTTCATCTTTCCTTCAACAGACAAGAATGCTAATCCTCTTCAGCTCCATCTAAAACAAAACAAAAGTAAAGTAGCTTAGAGGAGAAACAGTGAGGCTAGATGAGCAGCACACATAATAATGTTTTAGAAAGTGTCACCTAAGTTCTTCTACATGTCTGATAGAGTACTTGAATGTGTATTCGAGCCATCTGAGATTACACTCATTTCATCCTGCACCAGAAGCATTTTTCATTTTACAGTTGAGCATAAAACCAAAAGGTTGAAACTGCCAAGGTAAAATATTTCTAGTATATGGGTGTTTTTCAACATAATAATAAGAACTAGATTCAAACCCGCGCTTAAGCGCGGGATGTTGCGTTTATATTTATAAAAGCGTTTATATTTATAAATTTTGATTTAGTTATATATATATATTATAATTAATAAATTTGAAAATTTTAGTTGTACCTTATTGTTATATATCAGAGCTACAAATTGTGTTCATATGTCTTTGCGACATTATATTTATTAGTTCTAATCACGTGTCTGATATATTTTAAGCTTTGTTAAGAACTTCTTATTAATTATGGTTTATACGATTTTGATGAGTTAGTTTTATAGAGAATATTAGTACATAGAGTTTCTTAATGAAGTTACTTAGCAGTTAAACAGTTTACAAAAAATATAAAAATTGTTTTCATGTGCCTTTTTGAATATTATAAATACGTTAATTTATTTTTATGTTATTATGTACTTCCATTTAATAATCTATATATGCAGATAAATAATGTATTTTTTACCAAATCTAAAAGATTATGTACACCCCTCACAGTATCCTAACAAATTTTATAAATTCAACCATTTCTAATGTTTTGTTACAATTACAAATCTAAACTATTTTCTGTTTTTTTGACCAAATATAAATTAATTTCTTATGAATTATATTCTAACTTTTCCAAAACTTTTTTAGTAGAAGAATTATTTCCAAATTACTTTGTGGATGATTGGTTGGACTTTATCTTCCTACTTTAGCTTTATTTTGTTTTAAATCACTAAATTTTATCAATCATGTTGTAGTTTTATTTTTTAAAATTAAATTTATGTTAACTTATACCAGCCATGCTTTAGTTTTATTTTTAAAACTACAGAAAAAAATAAAGGAAATAATTTTTCTTATGTATTTTAGGTAAAATCTCTACATCTTTGTTTTATATGTTGTATAAATTGTAAAATGAAAAATATCTAAAATATCAAATAAATTAGATAATCATAATAAAAAATATCTGTAAATATTTAACATAGTTTTGGTGTTTTTAAAATTATTGAAATATTTTAAATAACAAATATTATTTACATATCAGATTTTAACTGACAATAAATTTGATAATTTATTAAAATATTGAAAACAAATATTTTGGTTGATACAAAAATAATTATTTTATATATACATTACATATTTCACATATTTTATTTGAAATGTCTACAACCTATAGTTTACAGCTATAACAAATTTAACTACATCAAAATCTCTACAAAAAAATCTACAGTAACAATTTTGCATCTACAACCAACTTATTTACGGCTAAATTTTACAGTCACAGTCAAACCAATCATTACCTTTCTTCTATCTAATATATAATAATTTACATAAACAAATGGACACTTTTTCTTTCTTTTTTTTTCGAATATTGCAACAAACGGACACTTCTATTTAAACAACTATAAGAACATTTGTTAGGTCGTTTCGAAAGCTACATTTTGCAAACATTAGGAAAACTATATTGTGTAATTTCATATAAGGTTCAGATACATATAGATGTCTTTTATCATGCACCATAAAGCTACTTTACTTTTTTGTCAACGGTTTCATATATTTTTGCAACTTTTTATTTATTTATATTTATAAAATGTGTATATATTCAATTGGTTTACAAAATCTATAAATTAAAATTGGTTTGCAAAACAAACCCAAATTAAAAAAAAAACATAAATCTAAAACAATAAACCTAAAAGTCATCTTCCTCGCCGGACCACCACCACTACTGTTACCCACACCATCTTTTTCTTTTTTTGTAACCACACCATCTTGCACCACAGGAATGGAGAGTTGACGCTGAGACCATGCGTTGCCTCCTCCGCCGTGAAGTTTCTTCTGCTTTATCACCAAAAAAATTGAGGTATTTGACGAAATGAACCCAGTAATCCCCTATATATTAATTGAGAAGCATTACAACATGTTTTGGTAGCCACGTGTCATCATGAGAATGCTTCTCAAATTTACTAGAGAAAAATATTGGTCCATATAAACATATAATATACTTTTTATTAAACTAAACATAAAACTACTATTAATGCTATTCATTATTTCCTTAAATAAAATTTACGGAATTACCTAATATGGTTATAATATATATATTACAATTAATGATTCGAATATGAAGATTTGATAAAAAAAAATTATAGCCTCTACTATCTTTGT